TGTAGACTCCGTCTCCTGGGAAGATACCATCCGGTGCAGACTTCAAGATGCTTAGACAAGAATTTGGAGTCTTTTCGCATACTTTTCCCAAAAACATAAAGGGACATGTACAGGTGAACTTTTCTTTAGGTGATTCGCAGCGCTCTTTGCATTTTCCTCCGTTCATGCAAGGCTGAGATCGACAGCACCCATTATAGCAAACACCTGGTGGAACCATGTGGGATTTCTGTTGATACAAAAAAAAAAAGAAATTACGTTAGTAAAGTATAATTTCTGAGTGTGTTAAAAGCAGTAGCATACCCCTTGGTACATTGTCTGCTTTAGATCAAAGTGTACGTATCCTGGCGCATCTGTCAAGGTTTTGGAAGTCTTGTCCTCATCCAGCAACTCGCATCTTGCATCTTTCATCTGGCACGCCTTACAACGACAATCTTGGACACAAGATGAGTAGCACTTGACTGGATCATCAGTGGTGATGTTSTTGTAGGAGTATCCCTTGAGATGTTTTCYATGGAAGATGTCTTGGGGTTCTGGGAAAAGTCCTCCAGAATAACAGGTGCCAACGCAGTGAGACCTCGAGCTAACGCTTACATCTGGGAAACAAGCTACCATTGTTACCAAGAAGCTGTTTATTGCGATGGAGTTGAGTTTCATTGTGTTATTTGACTATTACTGAAATAAGCGTTGAGAAAATAAAGTTAACATCACTATACATCCCGCTGACAACAGATAAATAAGAACCCATTGTCACCAAGAAGCTTTTTATCATGTTGGAGTTTGGCTTCATGGCGTTATTGCCTACATGATACTGAAATATCAAAATCAATATAAATCTATACCGCCTGTTTTGCATATTCTCAAGGTTAGCATTTACAAGTTGATAGATAAATTTCCAGTCCATAAATATACATTTTGTTGTTACTGTCAAATTTGTCACAAGTGATAAAAATTGTTTTTACTATAAAAGGTTTTTCTGAGGACAATCAATGCACATGCATTTTGTGTCGTTATAAAGTTACATGCCTTGGATAATTTGAAAGCAAGTGTATTTTAAATTGAAATGTAAAAAAAAGGAAATATAGAAATATCGACACAAAAAAATGTAAAAAAAAACCTAAAAACACAGAAAAGACATCTAAAACAAGAAACTCTGATGAAGTTCGAAAAAGAAAACAAGAACAAAATAAAAAAGGAAAAGAATAAAGTAGGAGATGGCAGAGGAGAAGAAGATATTTTTCAAGAAAAAGTGAATGAATAGGATTGGAAAAAGAAAAGATACAAGAACTAGAAGAAGAAACATCCAAGAAAGAGAGAAAGCAAATATCCCGAAATTTTAGTGAGTTATACCTTTCGTCCAGATGGAGTTTCTCTTCGTTTTGAAGTTCACTGAAAAAAGTGCTTGGCTCTTTCTGTTACCAATGTATTTCATTATCTCGTGTAATT